ATTTGGGAACACGTTTAATTAACATTGTAAATACGGCGGTAAAAAAAATGCTCAAGACAAGGGAAGGGAAAAGAGTTGATTTAATGTTAAGGAAGGAAGAAACTGGCAAGGTCGTTGTTTATAATCATAGATTTAAAAATAACTCAGTAATTATCTCATTCTACTAAAAATAAAAAATTTTAAATTTGAGTCGCAACATGTAGATAAGATAAAATAAAAAATAAAAAATAATTACCTCATTGTATAATAAAAAAAAATAATGATAAATGATATTAAATTTTAAAATTAAAATCTAGCACCAATAATGTAATATAAATCGTATTATTTAAAATATTAAAAAATAAATTATATATTATTTAATAATTAATTTTTTTTTACTTTTTAAATTTATAATATTATATACATCATCCAATTTGATGACCATCTAATTTAATGACGCAACTTTATACTAGGTCGTTGGTCCAAATTTTCATTCTTCTATCATTACTCTAGCTTTAAACATTTGCACTGATGACTTTAACCTCTTCTTTCACCTTCACATTTTGCGGCTAGATTGCCCCATGAGGGACGGTACCTGGACATCAAAGCCCTGGGTTGCCAACTACCCCCTTCCCCCAATTTCCCAGTGTTCAAAAATAAAAAAATAAAAAAATAAAATAAAAAAAGACAGACTAGACTAATAACCACCCTGCCTTGAATTTCAAGTGTTCAATGTCACAACCAGCTACTTATGGATAATCTTAATGGGATGATTCAACGATCAAGAACTTGAGATTTCAAGTTAGAGATTTTAAAAAGTTTTGAGTCAGATAAAGAGAAATTTTGGAATATGAAAATGATATTCTTTTTCGTATAACCCATAATCAAATGTACCAAAGAAGATGAAAAAAAAAAAAAAAAAACCACTGCACATGGATTGAACTAAAATTATAACCAGATAAAGACAACAACTTTCCTTTTTACCATATCCATATATAAAAAGAGACTACATGAAGGAAATACTTGACTTGCGACATTTCTTTTGATCTTTACAAAAAGCACTTGGTACAACACAAACTCAGCAAATACTATTTACAGAGCTAGATTGGTTGGTAAGGCTACAAATACAAAGGCGATCTCACTATAATTGGGTCATAACAGTTTCGTACGAAACCTGATAAGGCAATAAATGTCATTATCCCTGCTTAACAAGGACCTCAACAACTTAGGAGCTACAGCAGCACAATAGTAAACAAAGCATAAGGTTTATGTTAAGCAGTTGTGTGCATGATAATTCTAAATCTAAAAGAATAATCAACATCACCAGTTGCATTCCCCAGAACACTACCATAAGCAAAAGCAATCACAGGATTACACCATGCATTGTATAGAAATATAGGCAAACCAGCACTTAGATATGCTATGTGATTGGAATGGTAAATTTGCAATGTCCAGAGCCCAATAGTGACTAAAATACCATGAAAACCAAGAACACCACATAAACTTTCTCGCAGAGACTAATAATTATACCTTGTAAGCAAATCCGCTGATGAAATATGCATTTGTCAAAAGAAAAAGAACTACTCCTTGTTCTATTTCTACAGAGTAGTAGCTAGCAAGGGTTGATTCATCTCAAAGATTAGCAGTTCAGCTAAGGGTATTGGTTAGTATATTTCCCAAATCAATAATCTCCCGATTACCAATTTACCTTGTAGCTCTAGAAATTTCTCAATCAATGGGGATTTGGGACTCAGCCATTCCATATCCATACTCCCCAAATTTATAAAAATAAATTACAGCTTCCCCTAGTAATGGATCTTCCAAAAGAACCAAGAAAAATCCAACTCAAAAAACTGGGACCTGAAGATGACCACTAAGGCCAAACATACTCCAGCAGGTCAACTCAAACAGGCAAACCAAAAACATTCAACAAGAGAACTGAAGCTTAGCAGCTTTCTTAGGAAAAATATCTGCCCACAGAAATACAACAGAAACCAAAAATGAAAAGACATAAGTCTTAACAATACCATGTATTCTTCATAAGTTTTGGCACTTGAGTGCATCTTAGTCCGGTATTCCCAACCCAAGGAAAAATATGGCAATCAGGTTTCTACAATAGACATGCTTCACAACCAACAGTCAAGAATGTCAATTGATGACCTGTGGGCCTTAACACGTGGCTTCATAATCAATGCAATATACTAACGCAAAATTTGCTACTTATTTTCTTATAGCCTTCACTTTGTACTTGTATAGCTCTCAAGCTTATCACACTGATACAAGCCATGTGATTGCCTTTGGTTTCTTTCTCAATCAGCCCTTTATCTTACAAATTCAGCATAGCAAAGTACCCAAAATTCCTTACCGCGCATAAATTAGAACCTTCATCTGTCATCCAGTACTTATCCATTGAATATAGGATGCAGCATGCTTCCAAATTATCCAGCATCCGGTTCTTACATAAAGATAAAAAAACGATGATACAGAGCATATGCTAAGCACTTTCTGGTTTCATCTATAACTAAAAAGTTTCATTGAAGTATAAACCTAAACACTTCATACACCCAGTTTCGAAAACTAAGAAAAGCTTGAATCTGTGACTCCAGCCTCAAATATTTTTCTCAGCACGAATAGAGGCTACTGCACCTTGAAACATGCTTCTATCCAATACAATGCAAAAGCTCCATATGGTTGACATCCTAAAGCAGCCTCTTAGTCTGTACAATCTGTTCAATAGACATATTCCCTTGTGCTGATAGATATGTCCTTGTAAATACACTTCTCAGAAGAACAAGGTGCTGACTTCTTCAAGAATCTCCTAATCTCCAATTAAAATAGACTATGACTAAAAATTAATTCTACCTGCACATTGATACAAGAAAATTGGGAAATGCATATAAATAACAGTTTCACTTATCACTTACATCAATAGTACGATCCTGAACCTCCACCACCACCACCACCACCACCACCCATGTAACCGCTTCCGCCCATGCTACGACTTGAATACAAGGTTGAGTAAGAGCTAGTACCAACCTGTATGAAAGAGGGGGAAAATGATACAAGGTTAGAATGTTAAAACTTCAAAGGAATGGGGGAAAATTAAAAACAAAAAAAGAAGAAGGAGAAGAAGAAGAAGAAGAAGAAGAAGAGAAATTGCATACGTCAGATCCCCTAGGCACATAATCACCACCATAGCTAGAGGAAGAGTACATCCGTCCAACATCACCACCAAAAGAACCTGAAAAGCATGCCAAATTGGAGGATCACAACGTGGGACAACACCGAGTATAAAATGTACCAACCCCCCCACAAGTTTTTATTTCTAGCCATGCATATTGTGTCATTCTTAAAACTCACTTCCACCATAACCCATGCCCTGACGACCACCATAAAACCCATGTGAGTCCTGGCTGGACATAGAACTTCTGCTGCCAACATATCCTAGAGGGGATCTCCCGAGTCTACAAAACATAAGACAGGAAGATAAATGCAGTTCCTTGAAAAAGAGAAGGAACACAAGAAACTGCTGAAACTGCTTCTATTCTTGACAAGAGTGATAAATAACAAACCTATCACCATATGCATCACCATATTGAGGTGGAGGACCAGCAAGTTCATAGTCCAAGCGAGTTCTTGAATGGCGAACACTCATATCAGGATAACGTGGAGGAATATCATCCTGAAATTGTACAAACATTAACATAAACAATAAGGATTACAAAGCTCATTGTATGACAAAATCACCTGAATGACCAACCGGTATTCCAATAATACTAACCATGGCAGAATAAGGTCTTTTTGCTCCAGAAATTGAGTCATAATCACGGTCACGCCCTTCATGGTAACTTGGAGGAGGCCTCTCAAGCCTCTGACCATAGCCATCATCTACATATGGTCTCCTTGCTGCAGTACGAGAAGAACTTCTAGGCAAATCAGAATATGCAGTGCTTCGGGATGAAAACTCCTCTCTATATGATGGGCGTCTCTCTGAGATGACCCGGGCACCATAATCCATAGGTGCTCTGCTCCTTGTAGGGGGAAGTTCATCACGCCGACCATGGTCCCTATTCAAGCTACTCTTTTGAAATGACGGAACTGTTCAAAGTGGAGTCAGCATTTAAAACTATCATCCAAAGAACCATTCCAAAGAGAAACTCAAATGCATACAAAATGCAGGTTACCAGGTGCTCTTCTGTCATAGGACCTAGGTGGAAGAGCCAGACCCCGGCCTCTTGCTGGCACAGACATCATAGGCTGCCTGTCCCTCATTCTGCTATCTCTCAAACCAACAGGCCTCTTTGCAATGGGAGGTGGGACATGATTACCAACTCCCCTTACCCCACGAGTAGGGTAGCCATGGGGAGCTGGATGGCCCCAAGACCCCCTGACAACTCGTCCAGAACCACGGGCAGACCTGAAATTGTCCCGACCTGTGGGCTTAGTCCTGCCTCTATGACGTGGTCTAGATAATCTTGCTCTTACTTTAGCCTGAAAAAAGAGGTTATCAATAAAAAAAGGTGATAGACAAGTCATAAAACACCACTGGCCATAAAGAACCTTGACAAACCTTGTTGTTTCCTTCACCCAACTCAGTATTGTTAATGCTCTTTGCACATGTCACTGCAGCATCATGAGTATCAAATGTAACAAAACCATAATCCTTCCTGTCAGCTGATGGCATATTCCGGGCAAGCTCAATCTTTTCAATCTCCCCATATTTTTTAAGAAGCTCCTGAACACGATCCTCATCCCATGATGGTGGCAGGCAATCAACAAATATGGTCCTAACCTGAAGCCAATAGACAGAATCATCAAAAACTCTTCCAAGAATTGTAAACCCTCAGGTAAAGGGATACAATATGTTTATAAGATACATCAGGAAAAAGGATATAACATATAAGCATACAAGAGCTACACAACCACAAGTGGTGCAAAGCATTTTGAAATTGAACTGAGAAACAGTTGCTTGCAGAGATCAGATTTAGTTTATAAAACAAAACCAAAAACAAGTACAGAGTCAAAAAACCTCTGATCCCACTGAAAAATTAATGCATAGAATGCACTAATTCCCATATTTTTTTGACACGTCAGAATAGAGATCTTACTAGCATCCCTACATCTTTACACCATCTAATTTAACAAGAATAAGAAGATTAATCTTGCAAGAGCTCAGACTACCCAAAGCAATAGCCAACAAATTACCTGTGACATAATCTCATCACCAGGATCAATGAAGGAATCTGCAAATGAAACCTTTGCAGGCCTATCAACCCCAAACAAAACATCTCTCCTTTGGAGGCGCTTAAAAGCATCCATGGCATCTGAACGAGATGAAAATTCCAAGAATGCAAAGCCCCGATTCTTCCCCTCGTTGTTGGTATCTCCCACCAACGTTATGTCCTGAACATTCTCAACTCCATAATGTTTCAACTTCTCTTTCAACTAAAACAAAGGTTAAGGAGAAAAATATTATCCCCTGAAGCCAGTTTAATAGATTGGTCAAGTTTGCTAATAAGCTAGGTAAAACCGCTGTACTTACTGCTTCCTTAGTCCATGTCTTGCATATGTTACCCAAAAAGAGGGTGTCACTGTCTTGACTTGGAGTAACACCACACTGTTTTCCATTGATCTGGAATTGCACCCATTTAAAAGAATAAGTTTTGAGTTGTCAAGTCAAATCATTAGACAATCAGAGCAGCTATCGTATCAAAGTTTCAATAATTACCACTGGATTCCTGAGCTCTGTAACTGCTCGTTTTGCTTGTTCCACAGTTGCAAATCGCAAGAATGCAAACCCCTTGTTTTTCTTTGTTTGAGGGTTCCTCATTAGCCTAACCTCAACAAGTTCACCCACCTGACTGAAGACCTTCCTTATATCATCTTCAGTGGCGTCCTTGTCTAAACCCCCAACAAACAACTCAAACTCCTTACGCTTACGCCTTTCCTGAACAACTTCATGGCGCTCTTCATGCTCAGCTGCATCAGCTAAATCTGCATGCTCAACTTCCTCAGCAGCATGATCATCATCATCATCAACACTCTCTCCTTCAGGTACATCTTCGTCTTCTGAAAGACCAACCTCTTTCTCATCCACATCATGCTCCTCATCAGGCTGATCTTCTTCAACCTCATCTCCCACCTCCTCTGCATCTGTCTCTTTCTCATCATAATCCACTCCAGGATATTCTTCAGGTTCATAATCAGGATCATTATCATCCAACTCCAACCGCTCATCTTTTTCATATTCATCAACAGACCCCTTCATCTCATTGCCTTCAACCACGATAATAAGGAATTGAAAATAGTCAAGAAAAAAATCACAAGTCCACTACCATGAGGGAAAAAAATTCCAATAATGAATATCTTATGTCTTGGAAAAATCAAACCTTTTTTTTTTTTCTTTTATAACCAAAAGGCAATAACCAACATTGAAATCAATTGCTCATGGCCCAACAAGATGAATCCGTAAATAAAAGTGAAACCAAATCAAGAAAACTCACTCTTCGTATCAGGCAACCCGTTCAGGTCCAATTTTAGTTGGGTCTCCTCCTCGATAATTGGCTTGCCTTGAACCTTAACACCGTCCTCCTCCGCCTCCTCCTCCTCCTCCCTCACTTTCACGGGGGGAACTGAAGCAACCTTCACGACCTCTTCCGCAGCGTCAGGTTGTTGATACTGAACCTTCGATGCCCCTCTCGTACCCCTGGACATCCTCCTCTGCCCCGCAGCCGCAGCTCCTCTTTTCACAACCCTCGGAGGCATTATTTGAATTTCTCTCCAAATTCCAGAATCTGAAAGGACGAATCAACACCGCAATTTAATCCAAAAAGAAAAAAAAAAAACCCTAAACCAATCTACACAGAATCGAAGCCTAATTCAGATGCAAAATCACAACTACACTATAATTATAAGAAAGATGTGTGCTTTTACTTCAAAAGACCAAACCCTCGAATTCTATTAGGAGTTTAGGACACGACAAAGTACCAAGACTTGAAGACTTAGGAGTCTCCCCCTAAGAAAGAAAAATAAAAAGGTTGTAAATTGAGGAGCAGCTGTGTCGACTCTGTTTTATTCGATGCCGTCACTAGTGGTGTTAAAAGACTGGATTGGAGGACGATGACTTTTATAGGGACCACGTTTTCTAATCTAGATAAAACCCATTGAGCTGTTTTTGGGCCAACAGAGGCCCAACCACGAACATGATTGGTTAGATTTTTGTTTTGGTCCTTCGACCTTGGTACGAATCTTTAATTTAGTCTTTAGATTAAATAAATTTCTATTTTTGCTATTTAATTTTTTTTAAATTTCAACTTTTTTTGTCCTTTTCTTAAATTCTAAATTAGATTATCAAAACCTGTTTTTTCCCTCATATTAATGAAGTGAAAATTCTGCATCATAAAAATTAAAGATGCGAACAAAATTTATTATTTATATTAGTTTTAAAATTTTGTGTAATGATTTAAACACAAAATTACTATTAGATTAGACCTCAATTTTAGTCTCTAAACTTTTGTACAAACTCTTGATTTCGTCTATGAACTAAAAATCTCTATTTTTGGAAAAAAGAAGAGAGTAGAAGTTAAATCTTTGGGACCAAAATAAGACTTTATTTAGTTTAAAGACTAAATTAATAGTCAATACCAAAGTTGAGAAACTAAAATTGAAATTTAACCAACATGATTTTGGTAGAGCTAGGTGTTAATCTACCGAAGTTCATGAAATAAGACACAGAAACTAGAAAAGAGAACGGCAAATTTTTAGTTTGTCCACAACTAAAATTTACAGCATATTATAATGAATCAAACCTATAAAAACAAAGTGAGTTAAAAGAAATGATCTTTTGCTCTGAAATGGAACAGTACAATTGAAGCATGGCGAAGATGACACCTGAATATGGAAATGGGACAGCACGCAAAGCAGCGTACTCACCGAAGCCAGCCTACAAATTGCTTTTCGAGCATTAACAATAGCAAAATAAATAATTCCACAAATTGCTATGGAACAAGTCAAGATGTCCCATCGAAAGTCTCTGCCGTGCGTTTGGATTCAAGATAGAATACCAGCAAGATTGAATCTACATCAAAGGGGCATTCTTGGAGACACAATAGTGTTGATTTATTATGCATTTTTCTGCAAGGAGCATGATGAAGATGCAAACCATATCCTTTTCTCTTGCATTACAATCCTGGAAGGTCTAGGCAGCATGTTACAATTGGTGGGGTGTCAAAACAGTCATGCACCACATAGGAAGGGACCATTTTTGGCAGCATTCTGGATTGATCAGCAGCTCTAGCTTGAAAGGAGCATGGCAAATAATTTGCAATTTGGTTCTCTACGCTATGGTCCATGTAGCTATAGAGAAATCAAGTGATGTTCAAGAATGAATTTACTGGAATAGAGGAAATTGTAGATTTGATTAAATTAAGATCTTTTTATTGGCTCAAAGCATCCGAACATCCTAGCTTGACACTTAATTAACAGGTGGTGGAACAACCCACAAACTGCACTGTTAATTTTTTATTTATTAATAAAAAAAAAAGGGGTTACACGTAAATTATCATTTATATGTCCATGACTTCAAAACAGTTATGCACCACCTAGGAAGGGACCATTTTTGGCAGCATGGAAAATAATTTGGAATTTGGTTCTCTACCGTATGGTCCATATGGCTATGGAGAAATCAAGTGATGTTCAAGAATGAATTTACTGGAATAGAGGAAATTGTAGACTTGATTAAATTAAGATCTCTTTTTATTGGTTCAAAGCATCCAAACATCCTAGTTTGACACGCTTGGGCCTTCGGGTCCAGTTGCATCAGGTGACGTTTAAATGCATTCTCTCACCTTTATGGTAACGGTTTGAATCCGACTCTTTGCGAATTTGTTTAAAAAAAAAAAAACATCCTAACTTAACACTTAATTAACAGATGGTGGAACAACCCACAAACTGCATTGTTGATTTTTTTATTTATTAATAATAAAAAAAAAAGGTTACACGTAAATTATCATTTATATGTCCATGACTTCAAACATTCGGTGTGTGCCGTCCATCGAAAATTCATTGTTTCATTCACAGCAACACTGGAATTCTTGTTTAGAGCCGCCTTAAACTGCTTCCAGTCACGGAGAACAACCTTCAGATCCCGGAGCTTGGCCATTATGTGGCGGTAACAGTTTGCATGGACGGTGGAAACGGCCCAAATATCTTTGCTGTTTTCACAAAATCCACTGAAGTACTTGGTGTCCAAGAACCTGACCCGTAGGCCTAACTTCCCAAATATTCCGGCCTTCATCAGGTCCGACAACACATCTTGTTCTTTCTTCCCCGTGGAGTTGTCCTTTTGGGCATACCATGCATCGAACAATGAGATAGTCTTGTTGTTTGACATGATGTAATAGAAACCAGTGTTGATCGGATTCTCCTCCGATCGTGGGTTACCGTTGAATTTGTCTACGCTGATTTGGAGGTCGTCCGTGCCGTTCCTGCTTAGCCTTAGGAATGGGTTCCTTAACCACATTACATCGGCATCCTAACATTAATTAGAAGAAACAAACAAATTAAATTGATAATTCTTTTTAACATATTTTCAACAACAAAAAACATGTTGTTGAAAAAAGTGTCACAATCCTAATTATTGATTTCGACAATAACTTTTAATAATATAACTCACGGTAAGTGAAAATGTACTTTCAATAACGTGATTTATATTACTGAAAAGCACGTACAATTCTAATGAACAATTTGAGTGATTATTTTTAATAATATAAACCATATCAATAAAAGTATATTTTTAACAACAAGAAATATATTGCTAAAAAGGGTGAAGAATTCTAATGACCAACTCTGGTGAATTTTTTAGCAACCTGAACTATCTTGGTAAAACTTCACTTTCAATAAGGGGTATATTACTAAAAAGGGTTCTATTTTCAGTAATATGGAGCTTGTTGTTGATGTATTATTGACTAAAACTTTTCCAACAAAGACATCATCAACATGACTCTTATTGTTGAAATACTCTTAGCGGCATGAGATGCGCTTTTACCGTGTGCTCTTATGTTGCTAAAAAGGAGGATTTTGCTAGTGGCAGATGAATATAGATCAATATTTAAACATCGTGGTAGTTTTGAGATTAACAAATGGGTCTACTGTTATTATAAAATATTTTTTTAATAAATTTATAAAAAAAAATAAATATAATATAAAAAAATTTTTATTTTACCATACAACAAAAATTATTAGATGAAAAAATAATTTTCAGTGTTAGGATCTAATTTTATTTTATTTTTTTAAACAATTTACAATTTATGAAATTAAGAAAAGAAAATTTTTCAAAACGTTGATAAAAGTTAAAATCTTTACTAACTAATTCAAATATCTTAAAACTTGAGGTGAACCACTTGAATTTGAAACTAACTTTATTTAATGATTAACAAATTCAAAAAAATTATATATATATATAAAAGTTCTTTGCTTTGTAGTTAGAGACAAACTATTGAAAAAAGGAATAGTTTTAATAGTTTAAGATATCTAGTATGGACTACTTTAATAGGAGAAAAATATCATACCGTGAAGATGAAGTTATAACCATACTTGAGAACCCTTGAAAGGAATAGAGTTCTTCTCCACATCATCTTAATAAAATCCTTGGACATGTAAACCTCCTCTCCGCTGTAATCAACACCGTCCGTCACCACCCTGTAACAGTGCAACCTTTCGGCTTTGCACCGATTGTAAGCCGTTTGATCGACAGCCGCCA